TATAGTTAATGGTCTGCATCATGTCTCAATCAGTGATGCATCAGTTCAACTAGGATGGAGTTTGCCCTCAAATAACAATTCTAACGGATATATCGCCCTCTGTTCCAACTCATCTCATTCTCTCAATGAATCCATTGATCCTGGAGGGAATGAGACCACTATAACTGGCCTCAGTTCATATTCTGTTTACAAGTGCTGTGTTGTCCCGTTGCTAAAACAAGGGAATGGAACAGAGTCATGCATATCAGTGGAAACACAACAAAAAGGTTAGCTGGGCTCTTGGGGGGTCTTTAGCGAATTCCTCTAACTATAATTGGAAGCACAAAGTCATGAATATTGTTGGACCAAGCTATAAATAACAAATAATGACTGTATATAGCAGTATGGAGAATAGACATCCTTTTGCATCATCAGTCAGCTTCCTTTGAAGGATTGTTATGATTTTTAGTTGTAGGAAGTACACAATTAAGAGTCTAGCCAAATCCCTTTTCACTAGACTATTTCTTTGATGATATTTACTATTATAGAAGTTGATCTTACTAGAAGAATGTAAGACATTTAAAAGGGCTTAGCCCTGAGTCACGTTATTTTGTACTGTATGCTGCTAGAGAAGTTTTTGAATAGCAGTTTAATTTTATCTTGCTGACCATTTCTGCAAATGAACACATACTTGCTGATAAGTGCCTAAATATTATTATTAATTTTTATTCTGTAGCTCCATCGTCTCCAGTTATCTCAGAGCAGAGACAATTTCTAATACGACACTCCTCATACAATGGGATCAGCCAGTAGCACCCAACGGGATCATAAGGAACTACACCCTCATCATTAATTATGGTGGATCCACAATTGATCGAATATCTGTTGATGGACAGTTGAGGATGTATCTCTTGGATGGGCTGAGCATTTATCAAAGTGTACAGATAAGTATTGCTGCTAGGACTGATGCTGGAATGGGCCCAGCAGCTAATTATATCACCGCTAACGTACAGCAGACTATGGGTGAGTTATGAAGGATTTATTTTGCATCTGTATTTAATGTCATTTTTCTCTTTTTTTAGCTTCTCCTACTCTGCTCTCACTAGAGAAGAGTGAGTTTCATTTGTTATTATTTTGTTGTTTTGCTTACTTTCAATATTATTATCACTATTTTTATAATTACTTTCAACTTTTATTGTTATTACTATGTATGGGATAATGTTCAATGCCTCATTGATTTAGGTACAAATTTGCTGTCTGTCACTAATCACCAAACCACATCCCACCTTGTCTGGACTCCGCCCTCAAATACCATATACACTGTAAAGTATTATCACTTAACCCTCCACACCGTTCAACTATCAAAACTAATAAACAAATGGACACTCCGCCCAAATCAAGTCTTTAACATCACGTTGACATTAAGTAAATAAAATGATAATAAAATGAAAATAATTATGCTGTATCTTTACTATCATAGATCCATATGTGCCATACAGATTGGATGCTTTGCTAATGACTGATGGAAGAGGTACAGGAATGATTTCTAGTGATGTATTCTTCACAAAGGAAGGAGGTATGCAGTGAAATGCTAATGATATTCATAATCTCCTTATAAATAGCCCCTACTGCTTACCCAAGCATATCCAGTGCTGTGCGAGCACAACCAAATGAAGGAAGAATCTACTGGTCACCACTTGACCTCTGGGACAGTCAAGGAGTCGTAAAGAGCTACACAATTTCTATTGCTCAATCGTCTTCTAATGAAACGTGTGGAAATACTATCAATACAAAGACTGTTGTGATAGTGAGCAGTTCCGAGACCCAGGGACTCTCTCACTCACTTAATAGTCTTAATGTACAGAGTCCTTACTGCATTAAAATACAAGCAAGTACTAGCTCTGGTCCTGGGCCTTTTTCTCCTAGTGTATTACTACCAAGTGAGTTTTGAATAATCAAAACTTTATTATTATTTATTTTAATATTTTGTAGCATATGCTAGTACTAAAATCTGTGTACTGTTGAGTGGTGTCTACAACTGCAGCAAATGGATCGTAAGTTAAAAGAGTCTTATTATAATATATAGCTACTTATTATAAGGAGAATATTGATAATAATTGATGAATATTCTGTTTTAAAATTATAAGAATTATTTTGAGTTTCTTCTATTATTTTAGTTAGAGGATCTCAATGAGAAGATCAGTAATGCAACCGTTGCTGTAGTTAACTCACTCAACCAAGCTTGTTCCTGTTCCATCACTACAAGTCATCTTGTCCAATCATCTCTTACATGCAACTCAAGAAGAATTGATGGCAGTGCCTTATTCTGTACTACTGTCATTGGAACTAGTAAAACCAGCAGTCAAAGATTGAGGGACCTTTTAATAGAAAGACTACCGAGAAATTCTCTTTTATTATCTGGACTGAATCTCAATGTTAGTAATGTATGTGAAACTGAGGACTGTGCACCATTGGGTACTACGGGACAGACTGGAGAGAATGATGAGGACTTCTTTAAAGTATTCTCAGTCATTCTATCTATAGTGCTTGGGCTGTTTCTTCTGCTGGAGATCTTCACTTGTGTACTCCTGGCCAATTATTGCAATAAGTATCACAGCAAGAAGTCAAATCAGTGAGTTATGCTAATTGAAAAATTCACAAAAAATCCAATTTTAATTGGAATTAACTCGAAGTTTAAAAATAACATAAGAACATATAAATGCATCAGAAAAAATTATAAAAAATTAGAATTCTTTACTTTTTATTTTTGGCAAAATTTGGCC